ATATTATACAAATATACGTACACACACAATCATACATATATACAAATATACATACACACACAATCATATATATATATATAGGAAGTATATGAAATACAGGTTTATACTGCTATATGTGGTCAATATATTTACGTATGTGTATGATAGATGTATAAATTTAGTACATCTACGAGAGAGATATATTATTACTAGCAAATACTCTGGACTTGCTCAGAATGTATTTAGGTCGTCACATAAAGGTATATGAATTTATTGAGGAGCACATGCTGTGTAGTAGGGTTAGCCACATTCACACCAAACAATAGCAGTCGCTAAACCCAGCCTGCATGAACTCATTTACGGGAGAATAACAGGTATATATGATAACCTACCGCTTTCCTGGTTACACGTAGCCTGCTTGTAGAATCTCGGCATCTCGGGCTTGCGCTCCATAGACGTAGACATGCAACGCACCAGCCGTTGCAAGCATGAGGTTTGAGCCATGCGACTCCTCGCTACGGATGACGCTGAAACGAACATTACGGGAACCTATTTATCCTCTATATTAGTACTATGTGTATATAAAAATAAATGAATATAAGCATATATCCTATTTATCAATAAAATCTGCCAAAGGAGGCTTTTGTTTATAGATATTTAAATACACAAATGCGTGTGGATGCCCGTGAATGGCAAAATTTTACAATACATACACACCGCTTCAGAGTTTGGCGGGCAAATACAGATGAGTCATGATTAGGTACATTCATATGTGATTGATGATACAATATAAATACGTAAATACAAAGATATGTGCGTGTACACGTAACATATCCAAAATTACACAATCCAACTGTTTTTGCGTTTAAAAGGTAAACGTTTCTGGTATATTCGTACTTTCGGGATTTCAACTGGGTCATGACCTTCGCAGCCTCGCCCTCAGGCTCTACATTTGAAAGGCAAAATTTTATGGTAACACTGACAAGTCCGTAGGACACTGTGGGTGTATTTAGGGTTTCTACGTAAAACCAATCCGTATTCGTTTACGCTAAACGTTTATTAATGCATGGGTGCAAAACGTAAATGAATATATGGCACGCGCGTGACGGCGTGTCAGCATGTCAGCGTGTCAGGGGGTAAACGTGATTTATCATGTTTTCTGATTTTTCTTGCAAGAAAAGTAATAATAATCATCAAATTCCGCATAGGGTCTAAGGTTATATGGACGATCATGCACGTTCAAGATAGAGTGAACAGTACATATGTTAATACCATATTGATAGGGTAGTTATATATATATATACATATATATCCACTGTTCACCTCCAATTATAGACATAATTATTAGTCTTCCCGTAACAGCAGCTAGTTCCTGTTTTCCAGAGTCTCGTGGATAATTGTAGTATTGTAAAAATATATTTGCAGACCAGCAATTGAAGTAGCTATTATATATAGCAATATGACACAAACAAACGAAGTTAGTAACCATGGCTTGCCTCGTAACGGAACTGATACAGCGTCTGTTGCTGCATGGCAAGAGTCCGTATTGGCTATGACTAATTACTTACCAACGGCATGTCACACCTGCAAGCAGTATAGTATGAAGCTGTCAAGGTGTTCTGGGTGCAAAATATACTCGTACTGTACTTCCGATCATCAGGTGAGTAAGGTGTTTGTGTGTTTGTCAGGTAGGCGCCGGTTGACATTATCGCACCTCTGTTTTGGTGACCGCACTTGATGTTGGATACACGTATAGTAATAAAATCCGTGGCATACAAATATTCTCTACGTTCATACGTAAAACATATGTATAATTTTGAAAGATGCAAGTTTATGCGTGGATCGGAGAGTGCGAGTTTATACACATTGGTACTCGTTTTTTGAAATGATCGAATTTGCACACATGTATCTCTATATACAACACAGTACACAGCATCTGACTAGTGCGGATAGTATTGCTTATATATCTAGCTTGCACGACATGTGCATATGTGTTCATTAACATAGTCAACACTGTGAGGTACTCCACACTTACCTTTATATACAATCTATGTACGTTGTTGATTTATCAAAGTATACATGAACGGGTCATTCACCAAGTCGCCATGAGGTTGTTATTTATGTATATTGCCCAATCTACATATATTGTAGTGGCTATCCTCATAGATAAGCACCGACTTCAGTGGGACTATTGCGCATAGCTCTCGAAGCATCTGAAAAAGGCATCATTTATGAGGGGTCGAATCACATGCATATGCATATGAAGGATCCTCCAGAGACGATCTTTACAAATCGCACACATGTTTTGTAGTACGTTGACCAGATACGTCCATTGATAACTTACTTATTGCACTGCGTATGTCAATGTCGATATGCATGCGAAACCTACACATGAGCGGCTTTCAGATGCGCTAGCTTTCGATGCCCCCCCCCACCCCCCACCCCCCCCCCCGCTATTGTGCTCGGTCTCAAGCTTGTATTTCACGAAGAATGATTAAAATAGTAGTTTTCTAGTGTTCACAGCTCTGTGCCTGTCTGGCATTGGATGCCCTTTATTTCAATTTAGGGCTGCAGGAACATGGATGCGCGATAGCATCGTTCTGCAGAACTCTTCGCGTATTCTATATCTATATGTATATATGTATATATATATACAAATAGATATATATATATATATATAAATACATCCATGCATGCATATATATATATATATATATATACATAGAAATAAGAAATAGAAAAATAATAGTAAACACAAACATACATATATATATATATATATATATATGTATTATACATACATATCTATATCTACATACATGCACATATATATGCATATATATATTCATGTGCGTACCTGCAATGGGATGATGTAGATTTGCGCATCAGATGCGAGCTTATGTGTAGCTGAAAGCCCATGCATTCGATTAATGTGTTGATGGGAACCATTCTGGAAGCACCTACAATTATACTTATATGGCGTATATGTGCCTGCAATATGTATGACGGTAGACACATGTCAACAACGCATTGTTCTGGTGAAATGCATATTCATGAGAATATGGCAGGTCACCCATCGATTCATATTTGTGCATGTAGATGTGTACAAGTTGACATTGCGCACATGTGCAATAATTTCAACGTGTAGTACGAGCAAGTATTGGTTGACGTTTAATGCGTCCTTTGAACACTAGGAGTTTGTTGTACGTTTTACAAGCGGGTGGTACAATGGTGCTATCTGGGTTTGTCCCAGTTCTCGGGGTTCTGGATTATTCTAAAACGACATAGTTCTGAATTTGTATTGTCTCACATTTTCATTTGAATAGTAACCAGACCAATAACATACCCCCAACAACATTGACGTCTCGTCCTAATGTTCAGGTAGCGCATTGGGCAGAGCACAAAACATTCTGCAAAGGCATCCAGTTTCTACAAAAGCACAACCTTGTCCCCCTAGCGGATGTGCCTCTGATAGACGTAGCAGAGACGCCAGTAGACCCTCATACACAATCTCGTACGGGCAATAGCCCGCATGAGAGCCAAGGCGAAGCCTCTCCCCCACCACGTACAGAAGCAGAGTGGTGCGCGTTACGCTTTAAGCTGGCAGGTGCCATGGAAGTGTATCTGAAACGACCCTTGTTGCTACACGAACACCAGGTAGGGCTGCCTGCATTGGTATACAATCTTGTAATATATGATGAGAGTGTCGTACACGCATATATCGTAGTTGGATCACCCACGTGGATGATTCTCGTGGAATAGCAAATTCGCATTCACTACGCTGTGTGGGGAAATGCGGCGAGATGGTTTTATGTTATCGAGTCTGTGAGTTAATGGGAGGGTGCAATGCTTAATACGGATTCGTCTCCTTCTGATATAATACTCTTTTTATAGGCCTGCATGTTTATGAACCACTGCGAGAACTGCTTGCGAACTTACGCACATAAAGTCGAGGCCAACAGCGACAGTACACCCCCAGGCGCACGTGCGGATTTACGCTCGCTCACCAAGTGCGCTGAATGCGAGAGTGTCTCTTATTGCAGCGATTCATGCAGAGAGACCAGTTCAAGTCACCATCAAAGGTGGTGTAGTGAGTATGTACTGCTGATGGAGCTTGAGCGGGTGGTGGCAGAGAAAGGCCTACCCCCGCCTTGGATCCCTGATCTTTTGGTGGAGAAAAGCGAAGGTTTGTACCAAGAGTGTAGGCTATGTGGGTATTGCATGTACGATATTGGGTAAAGCTTGGTTAATTAGTCATGTGCGGTTGTCAATTCAGATCGATGCCAAGTTTGCCAATGTGAGCATCGAGGGATGGAAAAAATAGTTCTTATCCATCGAGAAACACTAACATATACAAAAAGTGATTGTTTTATCGCATCGATATGTGAGCGGAATATTAGAGTTTTATACCCGCCTATCCTTGTTATAGGTATGATTGTCACTATTTGGTCGCGCTGAAAGATGTCAGACTACATTAGCCGCTATCATATCTCTCGTGTTCTCTTGATCATATTATTTTTTGCGCCTGAGGTACGAAAGTATTTCTGAGTAGAGCCCTGGAATATGTTGGTAATATATCCACTCGATGCAGGGCCTTTTGTCCTGCCTACGAATTTCGAGGAGTATCTGCAGACCAGGGAATTCCCGGCCGGAATCTTCACTCCCTCGCTACTAACGTTGTCACACGTGTATAGCAGCCAAGCAATGACATATCCGCTCACCATTCTGTGGGCACTACAAAGGCTTGCGAGTGTAGCTAATAAGGTGTGTGATATGCTTATTAGCACGTCGCGCCTTGTGGTTGTTTCATTTTGACAATTGTCGAGATCGTCCTCGATGTAGGTATCTGTTGTGCTCACCTCACAAAGGCCTTATTTTTAAACCCATCTCCATGAAAACTTCTTTTCATCGGTCTATAAAACCTTGTGTGCAGCGATTGTCACTTTTTGCTGAGTGTATCCCTGTATGCGTTCAGAGTAAATTGTACATGGGATGCCATGCAGGGTGAATGCTCTGGTTGGCAGGTACTTAAACCAAGATTGGTATCTTTATTCACGAGTAAATTTTTGTTTTAATCTGACAGGCGGACGCGCTAGTGGAACCGTACCAGCCTACGAAGAGCAGCTTAGTTCTGCATTTGGTAGGAGCCAATGCCCACAGCGAGGTACGTCGATCTAAGTTCAGTGCTCTGTTAAACTGTGTGATAGTGTTTCAAATACATATAAAGTAGTGTGGTATATGCTTGAGAGTAGGTTGCCATGAAGAAATGGCTGAGATCGAAGAATACCCCGAGTGCATCATGACTCGTTGCTATTGCTCGGCCTAGACAAGGGTATGGTTTCATAAGTATCCCGTACCCTTGATTTCATAGGTATCCCGCGACATGAAGCAGGTGCTTTCAGCAGCATCTAGAAGTATTGCAGACTGTGTATACGTACTATATGCTGTCTATGTCTGCTTATATCGAGGCTATTATTACACTTATCGCACAGGCTCTTCATTCCGTTAAATACGAGGAGTTGTTGCATCTACTGCCGACGGTCACTTCTCTTACGGTTGTCTTGATTGGACCACACGCACCCACTTGGACTGATAGCGACGATACAGAATGTGATATGGTGAGTACACGAGTCCGACGGTTCGTTTGTACGTTCAAATTGCGGGCTATCATCCGGCTTTCGTATTGCAAGTTGATACGGGATTTCTACCATAGGGTTAGTGGGCCTACCGAAACCCAATCTTTTGGGACAAATCGTTGCTGCTTGTTCGTATTTAAGTAGTTTTTAAATGGCTTGGAAGTGTACTATCTACGTTATGCACACATCCGGAATCGATTTCAACGATGTTCTGGTGTCCCTTTAATCGCTGCTTGACAATTGCAGCTAGTACAAAAGCCTCTCAACGGTTCATTAGTACAGAAACAATCGTTCTGTTCAATCGATCTGTTCAAAAGTTAGCTTCTTGGATAGCCTTGTCCGCCCTTGTATCCAGCTGATTCTTGCCTTTGCTTCTTTCTTACAACGTACTTCTGTGTGAGGCATTGACTTGCTTTTTATTTATAAATCTACTACCGCAGTGTGATAGCTGTTTATCCCGAAGCCGGCATTTCCGACTGCGATATCGCCGCATGGAGTACAACAAGTTTATTGAGTCGGAAGGCACGGTTGAGTTTGGGAAGCCAGATATCATTGTTGCCTACAATTGCGGCTTCCACGAGTATACAGGAAAAGAAGAGGACTCTTGGAATCGGGCTATGCCTTATATGCTAAAAAAGGATGGTATGTGACGTCTTTCTCGCGATAGACATTCGAATTTTGTGATCTTCAGTTACAATATAGGCAAAAATCCAGTCCTGTTCCTGGTGCGAGTTCATGGCCATATATGCTAAGGTGTGTGGGGGTCGAAACAGCTCATTTGTCGTATGAGGCCAAACACACCCCAGGCCATACATACCTCGAGATTAATTGAAGGTGTTTACAAAGTGCATCATTTCTGGCTTCCCAGCCTCTGTCATATCCTTGATGTATTCTCTGGAGTGGCACTGGTAGCTACTCTATACAAAAAACGCACGAATTCACACCAATCTCTTTTCTATATTAAATATCAGTGCCTTTGATTGCCACGTCATATACCAAATCGGAATCGGTGGCGGACACCGAGTATATCCAGGCACACGGCGGGCATGTATCTGTTGCATCGGAGAAAAATCCTTTCTTCGGTCGCCAGCCATTCCGGGACTGGAAACGGGATGACGATTGCGATTTTTACTACTACAATAACTACGTGGCCGTATTCTCTGGTGATAACTAAAAAATAGTTTCTTCACGGCATACAAAGTGAGCACGTAGAGAAAGCCGACAACGAGGACTTGTATAGAAAGCGTAGTTTCAAAACACGCGTCACTAAATTCCAAGGGCATATACACTACTAATTTGTATACATTTGAGTGTAGGAGAGCTTGAACACTTCTGTTCACTGCGGCAATACAAGCGCCTCTACGGTGTCAGCTACGATGCAATACACATCTCTCCGTGAGTTGGTGTATGCGGATGATTCTTCTGTTGTGAATAAACACTGCGACGAGGAGTTTTGCGAATCTTTCGCAGCTGCCAACAGGTAAATGAAAAGACGTCGCACACAACTACTCTCTCTCTGTTGCTTTAGTATCGATGGAAATGGACGTCTTATGGCAGCGAATGCAAAACAGAGCGCTGATAGGCTGGTACAACGACTGCGTCACATCATTAACGTCACTCCCCAGGAAGTATTGAGAGTAGCGGATGGCACCCATCTAAGTATAAGAGAAGACATAAGCTGTTATTGTCCCAGCAGTGATTATGCTGTGAGCCTAATGTATCTAATCGAGACCTGACGCCCATTTTGGCTCGAGAGACATGCTAGTACATATTGGGTAAATATGGCTGTAAAACTCACCACGACAAATTAAATGAGACCAGATATCTGGATCTGGTAGCTGCTATATCCAGTCGCAGGTACTTTTCTGACCGCAATTCAATGGAGAAGAACCGAGAAGAAGTGTAGATTTGCATAGCAGCATGCAATCATTTATAAAAGTTTCAACGTGCGATTGTTAACGTACCTTTCAGGCACCGCAGGCATACAGGAGTGCTATCTTTGATTAAAAATGCACATATTGTACGCGCGCGGGTTTCTGCTACACATGCACAGAATAAGCAAGCGAAGGCACGGAAATTGAAGTTCGGGGTTGTTCTCCCTACTGAGTATACCACACATGATATGGGGGTTTTTTCTGTGTTCGTTTGCAAGTGATGAACAAAGAGATAGTTCTGAATATCACACGGGCGTCATACGAAGGGTTCTCTATTGAATCATCTTTTCTCACCCATAAGTTCTAAAACTATTACCATTTAAGGGTGGCTGCGTCTGCGCGTACATACACTTTGCATTGTCAAGGGTGGTGTCAAATACCACGACTAGCATCCTGTTGGCACGAATATACCAGCTACGACATCCAGTAATATTGATTTTTATTCAATTTGGATCAATATGGATCATTTCTGTACGGACCCACGTCAACCCCAATATATATAGATGCAATGTATAAATTGAAATATTCCATCTCTGGCGAATATCAAGCCTGCATCTAAGTCTGCGGATATTTTTAAGGCACTCTCGTTGTCCCTTCAGGGCTTCCTATAGTCTACTTCAACTTCTTTGAAGCCTCAGGATGGCACCATTCGTTCCTCGTTTGATTCTCGGGTATGGGAAAGATGAACACGATTTGTACCGGAAAGAATACCTCAATATGTACAGTGGGTTTGTAGACTATGTTGTCTTTTGCTTTTCCCGCCACGGTTCTGACTGCGAACCAATTCTTGATCTGTGAGAAAACCTGGAACATACAAACATCTATTTTTTCAACTTATCTAGATGTAATTGTGCATAGGGTTGTGTGGGCTAATAGATGGATCGCGTTGCAGCCTTACTATCCAAAAAAAAATCGCAGGAGGCATATCGAACATCCACGCATAGTGCTGAACACCACTTAAACTATTCGT